AAAAAAAAAAACACGAAAAATTAAGAAAGGAAAAAACTAATCCAAAACCAAAAAAGAAAAAAAAAATTCAAGAATATTTTCAGGAGTGTATCAAAAAACAATTCCTGCTGATACTCCTTCCTATGGACAAGGTACCAAGAAAGAGAAATCAGCTCTTGATAGTTTTGCTGAAAAATAAACCATTGATGGAGAATCAGGTGTTATTCCAAATCAGTATTTTGCGTACAAAGCAACCCAAATAAAAGACTTTTTTAGAAATCATCGCAATATTAAAACCCGTCTTGTATTAGTTTGCCTCATGGAGCAAACATATATCAATGTTGAAGCAACAGATAGATGTTAAAGAAGTACTTACCAAGATGATAATAGAGATTCTCAAAAAACATTGCTATTTATTAAAGGAATGGTAGCGGTTGGTATTTTAAAGAAGTACTCAATCTTGAAATTCATTCTGTTGATTATAAACCAATGAGGGGGTCTTCTTATATCCCACTTCCTGATTTTATCTTGAAAAAGAAAGCAATTACAAACATTCAAAACAAAGATGAAAAATGTTTTCTCTGGTGTGTTCTTAGATATCTTTATCCAACAAATCTTAATGATACAAGATCAACAGACTCAAAACAAAAACCAAAACCGCTTAAACTTACTAAAGAAGAACAACAGGAATTTTATTATGCAGAGTTTTGCCATATTTGTGAAAAAGAATTATACGATGACGATTCAACAGGCAAAATGCTTAAAGTCAGAGACCATTGTCACTTTACTGGAAAGTATCGTGGTGCAGCACATAACTTTTGCAACCTTCAATGTCGCAAGCCAATTATGATTCTAGTCCAGTCATATTTCACAGTCTTCAGGGTTATGACTAACATTTGTTTATCAAACGACTTGCCAAACTCAAAGGTGGATTGACATGTAAACCAACAACTGCCCAGAGGGGGTACTCGGGATTTCAAGTGACGGGGATGATCGAACGGAGCGAAAAGCCAAGACGCAAAGAAATCCCTAGGGCTTCCAGCAAAACCCCAAAAACTCCCTGGACCAAAGATTGACCCCCAAAAAATCCCATGCCGATTTTGTGGCCCTTAAAAGTTCCAGAAAGGGGTAATGCTATAACACAAAGAAAAACATCAAACCATCTAAATATATCATTTCCTTCATCTGCTTCTTTTTAATACCCCCAAAAAATCCCTACTCAAATTAAGCTACCCAAGCCAAATTTTCGTACCCCTAAAAATCCCGGAATCGAAAATTTCAAACCCCAAAAAATCCTTCGATCATCCCCGTCACTTGAAATCCCGAGTACCCCCCCCCCCCCGGGAACAACTGAGGAGAACTATATTTCATTTTCAAAAAAATATTAAAGTTGACGAATACAAATCAAGAAAAAATGGTGAAACAGTTTCACTCAATTTTGAAATCTGCTTTATCGACTCTTTCAAGTTTCGGTAAAACATGGAGAAAACTTATATTTACATCACTCGTATCCCCTGGAACAAGATTACTGCCTTACGCAACAAAAGAATTTCAAAATCTTTTCCAGCATTGGCAAAACCGGAGCTGTTTCTGCTTTGGGAGACCCTGGAATAAATAAAATATTAGGAAATGGTATAACTATTTCAAAAAGATTTATTGAAATGCTTCCACCTTTCAAAAATGAGTTTACAAAAGCTCAAATAAACCAAATAAATAAAGCTTATCAAAGCGGTGGAAGATTGGTTTTTAAACCAACAAGGAAACAGATTGAAGGAGGATCCTTAAGTACACTTGCTTCAATTGGAATTCCAATGGCAATTAGTTTGGTATCAAAAATATTTGGAAGTGGACTTCAAGTTGATAGACAGGCTTCAATAAATACGAGAAATCTTTATGTTTCTCAAGCTCCAGTGAAAACAAGAGGTGAGGGTCACTATCCGATTTATCAATCACAACCTTTTTTTTTGGAAGTTGGGAAAATCCAATTGGTGCTGGGGTAAAATGTGAAAAGGTTTATTGCTAGGAAAAAACAGCCCTTTCAGTTCAATTCCAATTATAGGGTCATTTTCTAAATAAACCACTATCCAACTTTGATTTGTTTGACTGAGAAAAAAAAAAAAAAAGAAAAAAAAAAACACTTGGAATAAAATATTTCAGAGATATTTTCAGCAGAGATACATCACCAAAAAAGATTGGAAAATGGAGTGGAGTAGTCAATCTCGATGATATCCAAGGTTCTGGAACACACAATGGGTTTATTACAGAAAATTTGGAAAATGATTTAGTTGAATACTTTGACCCATTTGGTTTGATTATGCCACTTGACATTTATCACTATTTAATTTCATCTGGAAGAAAAGATAATTTACTCTCAGGATGAAATACAAAACAGAGACTCTGTTCTCTGTGGATATTGGTGTTTGTACTACCTGAATGAAAGAAATAAAGGAAAAAGTATATTGGATGTTATTCATGATCAACATTTTGACTAAGATTATAGAGATTTTATTATCAATTATTTCGAGGATTTATAAATAATTGAGATATTTTATAACAATGTCTGTTATGAAATTTAATTTAAACAAGATAACTTCCTTTTACCAATCCTCTCAGTAAATTAAACTTTTAACTCATCTCAAAAATTACTTTGCGAACAAGGGCAATACTGAATCATAAATGTTTCTTAATTCTTCGAAAAAATTATCTAACTCTCCTTTTACAAACATTTCTCTTGACCTCATCCATTAAATAAATTATATAATGTTAAATATAAAATGGAAGAAACGTATTGCATTGTAGATAAAAGAAAAACTCTTTGTGTTGTACTAAGTAGTTATCGAAGCCGATAAAAGAAACAGATTTCAATTTTATTGTACTTGTGCAATCCGTGCAACAAAAAATGTTAGATATGTACAACAAAACGGATAAATTGGAACAGGAAGGAAGTCAAAAAACTAATTAGCCCGTCTCACGGGGCGGGCGTTTTTGACACTGTTGTTGGTACAGCGGCATGCTTTTGTTCATCATGGTATCCCTTTGATGGCAAAAAAGTCTGTTGAGATGGGGCGATATGGAGCAAGTGAATTAATGAGAAATAAAAAATTTACAAAAGAAAGCTGTGAATTACGACATCAATGAACTTACTCCACTCATTCAAGATTCTGTTGGAAAACAAGAACAGCCAGCAACGTTTAAGTTTCACAGAATTGCTTCATGTATCATTATCATTATTGTTTTAAGTTGTGTTTCCATTAATTAGAGCAATACGGCTACCTCAACGGAAAAATGGTTTGAGAGCTGGCAAAACATTCAGATTAACCTCACATAAATTGCAGCCCAAAGGCAGTGCTTTTGTCTAGAAGAGATTTTTGCAACACATTATCAACGCCGGTCGGTAAAACCAACGTTCGGTGTTCATCCCTAATAAAGTTTGTTCTGTGCAGATTCTTTTTCGAGGCAGTAGAGGAAGAATAATTTTGGAATCAGCTCTCGGCATAATTTTACATGCCTTTAGTTGCCCACGAGAAGTGTAAGATACAATCCCCCAAATCAAGAACGAAGCCACGTGAACGGCAAAATAATTTTGTAGCTATAGTAAAAAAACGAACCAGGTGCAAGCACCATACATTAAAGGGGAAATCTGCACCCCTCTCCTCTTAGGAGAGCGGTCAGGGAAGGCGTATCAGGCTACATACCACCCGTCTAATTCCACAGATCTACGTTTAATGGATGAACACGTGCCGCATATGAAAGATTGCTTATGTTATAAACTTTTTTCGGTAAAATAATATTACGTATGAACGCATTAGGTTAACGCTCTATATGCCAACTCGTATGTTTACAAGTATTGTATCGAAAACCATCTAGCCACTCTTACCTACAACAATGATCAATATATGTAATTGCGTTTTGCGCTTATTTAAGAAAACTGAATATTATTCTACCAAGTATGAGTCAATAACAATCAATAAAGTACCATTTACATAAGTATCGTAGAATAGAATTTGGAAACTAAATTTGTTCATATCATCTGATACAGGTGGCTAGATGAATACCTGACCATTTTTATACATCAAACCTTTACAACGTCGATGAAGACAAGAATTCCCGCACATTTTGTCTATGCCCTTTTTACCTCCGTAAAATCAAACAAGACTTGTGTTTTGATAAAATGGTTCTTGTGAAAAATATTTTCTCAATGAAAAAGAGGGTTAACAAAAGTGCCAAGATTAAGTAAAGTTTATCTGCATTTGCCATGGACATAAAAAGCTATATCTTTTAACCTCTTGCTGTGCATTTTATATCATGCATGTACAAACAGAGGAGGTATCAGCCACTGTAAGAAGAATTATTTGTGGCATAATATGTTAGTATAAATAAGAGGAAGGGAAACTCCGTTATGTGCTTTTGTTCCATGCATGTGAAGTTCACTTGCGCTATTTACAGAGCAAATAAATATTTTAGACAAGCGCCTTGGGGGTTTGTCGCTTTAGAATAAAATAACTTATTCTAAAGCTCTAAATTCCCATTGTGCCGGTGCTTTTCTGAATTTGTACTCATTGTATAAAGAGCGAAATTGGGCTCCAATAGGCCACTTCCGAGTTCCAAAAACCCTCATTTTCAAAATCAGGCTAGATGCACAACCTTTCTTGTGAAAATGAGTTTTACTTGCATGAGAATGAAAAATGATTTCCATATCGAAGGCTGCGCACCTACCTCTTTTTGAAACAGAGGCCCGGGGGAACTCGGAAATGGCCTATTGGAACACAAACACATAAAGGAGTTTTTCTCTCTGTCCTTTTGACTATGTTGCGGTATTTTATTTCATTAGTGTTTACATCTTCTCCGATCAATAATTTCCAGGTATGAATTCCCTAGCGGTTCTAATCGGTCTGACGCTGTTCAGATACTGTGCCACTGAGTGGCTAGACATGTCGTACAGTTACGACAGCAAGACCAACTACTTTCCTGGTCACACCAGATTTAAACAGACTTCCTCACAGAACAAAACGGCGCCAGCTGGGTTTTCCTACTACGATATTCTTACCTCAGAGCACGGTGGAACTCACACAGATGCCCCTAAACATTTCTACGAAAAAGGGAAATATATGGACGAAGTTCTGTTGGATGAACTTATAGGGCCAGCAGTTGTTGTGAATATCTCGGCCCAGACTGCCAAGAACCAAGACTATCTGTTGAGCGTAGGTGACCTGGAGGCTTGGGAAGAAAAACATGGCAAGATCCCAGATAGAGCAATCCTTTTCCTTTACTCAGGCCGGGGAAAGGACTGGGCAAATCCAGAGAAGTTTTTGGGCTATGATCCCAAATCAAACAAGACTGGTTACGGTTATCTACATAATCCAGGTAAAGCTAAACTAGAAAAGCATCTAACGTTTGTACTATTCCTTATTTTCATGTTACATAGGGATCACAAGGGGTTCACAAGGCTCACAAAGAGTTACCATGTAGTATAAGAGGAAGAGGGAAGTGAAAAGGAGTCAGGGAGGGATCAGCCGAGGAAGATAAAATGACACCGAAGATGGAGATGAAGGGAGGAGATTGAGGAAGCTAAAACGTATAATAGGAAGGGGTAAGGGGGGCGTTGATGAAGAGGAACGGGAAGCTAAGTCGAGAGAGCAGAAACTGTATACATCGTAAATTTGGAATCAATCAATTCTTGAACTTTATTCAAAGTTTATTGTGGCAATAAACTCTAACAGGTTCCACTTGGCCTCGTACGGTAATTCTTAGCCAATATTTTAGAGCAATCATACTGTAGAAACAAAAACACAAGTTTCGTTTTTACATTAAGACATATACGAAACATATATTTCCATTCTTATCCTAGGTTTCAGTGCTGAAGCAGCTGAATGGATCGTGAAGAGTGGAAAAGTTACCGCAGTGGGTGTGGACGTAGTATCGTGGGACAATGGACCGTCGAAAATCTTCAAGGCACACACAATCCTAACAAGTGCTAACATACCCGGATATGAAATGGTTGCCAATCTGGATAAGTTACCCCCCGCGGGAGCTATGGTGTATGGTGCACCAATTAAGATCAAGAATGGAACAGGAGGCGCTACTAGAGTCTTTGCTGATACTGGGAAACAGAAAAAGTGCGATAAACAGAGAACGAAGGTATCATGCTTAATATGATTTACAATTTTTAAAATATAGTTATTAGTTACTCAGCGCAAGCAAGTTTTCTATACCAATAGCGAATGCACTACGTTGTTGGTATATTCCAACATAAGTTTTGTGAGCGCAGATTTGCCGGATGCTTTATGTTTTCTTTTCTACGTCAACTGAAGCGTTGTGCGAATCTTCTTTCTCCACAGCTTTCCTATGTTCAACAAAATAAGGTACAAAAATTCGTAATTTTTTCTTCCTTGTTCTTGCGTGAAGGTTAAGTGGCTGGACATGACGTATTCGTTTAGCAACGAGACTTTCTGCTGGCCAGGATTGACGCCTTTCAACATGACACAAGTGTATTGGCCTAACGTCACGAGAGACGGGTTTTACGCCATCATGTATGACTTCCACACCTCTGAAAACTGTGGGACACACATCGAGGCACCAAGAAGCTTGTACAAGGACAAAAGAAGCACAGGACAAATCCCCTTGGATGACCTCATTGGGCCAGCTGTTGTAATAGATATTCGTCAGAAGGCTTTCTCAAACGCGGACTATCAGCTGATGCCGAGTGACATCGAGGACTGGGAAGAAAAACATGGCAGGATCCCGGAGGGCGTGATTCTGTTGGTGTACACGGGGTGGGGAGAATTCTTCTCCGACAATAACAAATATCTAGGAATGCAACCCACTGGAAACGTATCCAATATGCACTTCCCAGGTAAGTGCTAAAGCTTTTTGAGTCCTATGATCTTCAGATCATGCTAGAGAGATAGGTTGTTGATCATCTAATAACATATCGACCCACGGTTGGAGTCTTATTATTATTATTATTATTATTATTATTATTATTATTATTATTTTAATTCGTCCTCTTTGAACTGCAGACGTAATTGATATAACCAGTGATATTGAATTTACACGCTTCGACAAAGCGTGCTCTCCTATTTTGCGAAGCGCTAATACCAAAGGGAGTGACAAGAGTCGCCTAAGTAGCTACGATTTCTCCATTTTACATGATTTCTGCAGTCCTTATTACTTCGTCTGCCTTGCATACAAGACAGTTAAAACGTATAGAGCCCTCCAAAACATAATATGCTCGCCAAAGAAAAAGCTTTATTAGAAAAAGCAGCATTTTGACATAAGGTAAACTCGTGTGGCCTAGTGACTTCTTTTACACTATGAATATTTTTACATGTAGGTTCCGTTTTGGCTGGTGGAGATCAACACTAGGACTAATAAGAACCAAGCACAACGGAGAAAGTTCAACATTGATTGTGCACCTAACTAAGAACTTATCCACTCCAGTTTTTAGAAGAAGTATACGGAAACGTTGTGCACACTTATTTACATGAGTCTTCGAACTGTTTTAGGGAAGAAAGTGCTAAAATTGTCACAAATGCTTACCTAAAAAAACACACTTTAAGCTTAAAGCAGAAGTCAGAATATCGAAATGCACACTCCGTAATTATTGGCTGCGTTCAGTAGCCAATAGGTAGAAAACATTTTTCGACCTTCGACGTTAGTATCAATGTACGGCGTCAAAGCTCATACCGAACCGGTGTACCATTCTCCCCACGACACAGCACAACTGGAGCTGCTCTTAGTAAAAGTAACTAAGCACGAATAGAACTGATGAGGCTCGCGTGGAAAACCAAAATTATTACCAAGGGAGGAACTACACGCTTCAGTCCAAAACAACCGGCAAAAAATCTCATTTGCTCCAGAACATAATCTACCCACCAAAGGGAAATATATATATTGGAACAAGCAGCATCTTGAGATAAAAGTCGTGTGGTCTAACTACCCCTTTCTACACTACTAATTCAGCTACTAAAGAAGTTTAAAATGCAAACCCTTTTACAATAGGTACTATGTGTCTGCTGTCTTTCTGCTGAATGACAAGCTTGTTGATCTTCAGGTATCCACCCAGACTCAGCCAAGTGGATGGTGAGTCGAAAAGTAAAAGCAGTTGGTTTGGACACAGCGTCGCTTGACTATGGCCAGTCAAAAGATTTCCAGTCTCGCAAAACCTTATTCAACGAAAACATCCCTGGATATCTGAATGTTGCTAACCTTGACAAGTTACCCTCCAAAGGAGCCACAGTGTTTGCTCTGCCAATGAAAATCACCCATGGCGCTGGGGGACCACTCAGAATCTTCGCCAAACTTGGAGGGGAGTGTCCCCCATCAGGCGGCGGCCGGAGTCTCGCCAGTGGACAATTGTTTCAGATTATAACTCTCCTGCTCGTGCTCAAGTTCCTTATGTAACTGCAAGTTAGATGCAAACAGCATTAGAGATAATTGAAAGAACATTATCTGAATTAGACCGCAATGCAGTCCTTTTTCGCCAAGAGTCCTTGCAGGAAATCAAGGACTAACTATGTTTAAAGGAAACAATTGCCTCCTTCTTTTCCAGATTACTTTTCGAGGAATCATACTATCCATCCGTATGAATAGAACTTACTAATTATTATAATTACAGACGTTTGTCAGTTAGATATGGAGATGTTATGATATTGATCAGTTTACCACACAACTGGAAGGAGATTAATTCATATAGGGGACGGACCATTAGGAAACTTATCAGGAGGGGGGGGGACGGGCGAAGTAAAAAAAAAAATATTCGCAAAAGGGAAAATTAAATGAAAAAATTTCATGCACGCCAATTAATCCTAAAAAAATATTCATGCTATGACCTAAAAAAAAATCGTACAAGGAATTTGATAACGAAAAAACATTCCTGCGGCTCGAAAATCCCCCCTCATTAACATTTTTAATGGTCCGTCCCTAAGTTGCATTTAGTTAAAAGTAAACTGGAATGTTTTGTTCAACAAAATAAAAATATTATATATATATATATATATATATTGGTAGTGAATCTTCGTAGTGGAACATCATATGTACAGTAGAACCCCGGTAACTCGAGCTCTGAATCGAAGGGAAGCGAAAAACAGTTTGAGTTGCGAGGAATTCGAGTTAACCTGCCGGGTAACTTTCAGTGAAGTGATTTTGATCAAGGGAAACGAAATTTAGTTCGAGTTAGCGGGGAATTCGAGTTATCCGAAGTTCTACTGTACGATACTCTTGCTGCTTAACAATATGTTCAAGGGCCAAATATATTCGATACGAATGTTTGTAATGCATTTTAGAAATTTAAGGGGACCTCCTGCTGGTAGCATGAAATGCTGGTAGCATGAAATAGGCGTAATACGAATAAAAGACTGATTGATTAAAACCATGAAACGTAATAAGTATTTTTATCTTGTGTCGAATGAAACTGATAGGGGCAAGGACATACAAATGCCAAGGGTGAGGGTACTGATTGGTCAGTAATGTAACAATTACTCAAGAGAAAAGCTGATAACTCAGCTGATGTGGCTTTTTAGGCTCTGTGTTTCTGACGCCAGCTCGGCATTCGACACCGCACACTCTTATTCAACACGAAAATGTTGCACGTCGAAACCGTAAAAGGTAGGACCTCTGTTAAACTAAGTAGCCGTTAAAAAGGTTTGTAATTAAATGAAGACGTCGTTCTATATTTTATTTTTACCAATGGAGGTGATAACGTGGGGAGGACTGCGTGCGAAAATGATAACATGTAATGTTATCAAGCCAGAAAATCATCTCTCTTTTCCCATCGTAATTGCTTGGGAAGGGCAAGAACTCACCGTGACATGTTGATAACTGAATTGCCGTCTCAGAAAAAAAAAGAAAATATATATATATATATATATATCTATATATATATATATAAACAACAACAACAATAAAGTTCTAAAGTGAGTTAAAAGTTTCTAGCTGGTTTTCAGTTTTTAATATCAGTTGGACATTGCATAGATCACGAACGTTACTTTTTATAAAGATTAGATGAAGCACGCCCCAGTGATATTGTGTACATATTATGTACAAGAAACACTTGTGAAGGCATAACCACAACGGTACGACAAACCAGTGAGAGTACATGTTATGTATCATGCAAGGAACGTTTTTGTAGCACAGCACAAACGGTCTGTATTTGTATTTGGGTTCTTTATTTTCAGCTCATGGATGACATGTCATCCCATGGGCTTTTGGAGGCACTCGAATGGCACTCGATCACTTGCTCACTCACTCACTCTCTCTATTCTCATTAATTTATTCATCAAAGTCAGATTAAATACTTTACTCTTACCTCCCTTACTTAGTAGTAGTAGTAGTAATAATAATAATAATAATAATAATAATAACAATAATAATAATGGAATTTATAAAGCGCGTATACATCGCTCTTCTAAGCGCTTTACAATGTAAAAAAGGACATAAGAATATCATTAACCACAAGCTTACATATAACACTACTGTACATATTGGGAAATTTATAAAGTACACATCTTAAAAAGGAAATAAAACAAAAACAAATATGACGAAACTAAATGTAATATACCTTTTTAAAAAGAAATGTTTTCAGCTTAGATTTAAAAAGATTAACATCAGAACAAGTTCGAACTTCAAAGCTGAACTTGTTCCATAGTCGGGGGGAGGAAACGCTCGCTGGCCATAAGTTTTCATGTTAAAATTTGGTTCTTCAATGCGTAAATGATCCCTTGATGACCGTAATGTCCTTGATTGATGGTAAAATTTTAAAATATCTTCAAGATAATGGGGACCGGAGTCATTCAATGCTTTAAAAGTTATTAAATTTATTTTAAAAAAAATTCTCTCCTCAACAGGAAGCCAGTGAAGATCTCTTAGAGACTCGGTGATGTGATCTATCGTTTTTTGAGACCAACTATACTGTCGAGCAGCCGCATTTTGTACGGACTGCAACTGAACTATGTCTCGTTATCGGGCACCAAAAAGAAGAGAATTACAAAAGTCCAACTTAGAGCTAACAAAACTGTGAATTAGAAATCTGTGGTTCTTTTACTGATGTATTTTCTTATTTTAGAACTATTTCGTATGTGATAGAAGGCACCCTTAACTATTGTATTAACATGTGCGAAAGTGACATTGTGTCGTCAAAAATCACGCCAAGATTGCGAGCCTGTTGAGGAGGCCTGATGTTTTCCATGCCGACAGAAATCGTAGGACGGGACAACGAATGACGAAAACGGGAGTGCAGAAAGAGAAATTCTGATTTATCATTGTTAAGCTTTAACTTGTTGGTAGTCATCCACAAATTGATGTCAGCAACGTTGTTCCAGTATTAGTATTACTTTATTTTGTTCCAAGTGCCTTTAACGCAGATGTTTGGCGTACTCTTGACTTGTAAAGCGTACATATTTTTCCCGACACATTATAGAGATGGGGTTGGAGATATTCTGAAGAACACTGACAATATCATTCGCAAGAAATTGACTTGGAATTGTTAAAAGGACATTGAAATAATTGAGCGTGGATCATTGTTGTATATTTGGACGAATTGTGCACATTTGTTCCCGATATTACTTGACAAGGGGAAGATGCGATCGACGGGAGTGTGAAATAGCTATCGCAGCCTGACGATGGCGATGAGATTTCGTTCAGCGAAAAGCGACTAGGCCAAAGAGCCTTTATAGCTGCAAAAAACAAAAAACGATTTATATTCTGGTTTATTCAATTATTTGGACGAATCCATTCGGCGATTTGTCTTCGTATGCAAACAGGAGCTAACAGGGAATGAATTAATGTTATGTCAACTAGAAGCACAGGTTTCAGAACCAGCAAGCGATACGCTATTTTGCTTGAATTCTTAGGTGATCTTTCCCAGCAGGCTTTTGTTTGTCGGTGATTCCATTTATCAGTATACTATTAATGTAATTTGCACCGAAAATGCTGCGCTGGTATAAACAATTTTCTAGAATATTCAGGTAGAGAAAGGCAGTCGGATACTTCGACTGCGTTTAGATTACTTAGCTAGGTCAGAGCACGTACAGCTTCGAGCAGCATTCCTATTTTGTTGTCACGAACTGTGAAAACTCGAAACGAAACATGATGCTTCGGGGCTAGAAACTTGTACAAAGATTTATTTTTAATTAATTTTCAACCTAGAGTAAATAAGAATTAGTAAAACCTGGCTATTTTGACTTTGCAATTTAATGACGTGACTGTAAAAACCATCAATTTCCTGATAAAGTTCGGTATATTGACTAATTAAGTTTAACACTCATTTTACTATTTGGCTAGTAGAAAATGTATTTGTATTGACTGTATTTCCTGTAGCTTTAGCTGCCTGTGAAAAAGGACGCATAAACCTGATAGCAGGAAGTAGAATATAACTTTTAAGTTAACAAAATAATTCTAGAATTGTGCCAAATATTAGAAACGAGTTTGTAAAACAAGTCGAACCGAATTTAACATAATTAACAGTTTCTTAACAGCAGCCATCAAGTACAGTGGTCAATATACATGTTGATTCAAAATACTTAACCGAGCATCAATTTTTGCAATATTAAATTGGCTTTGAGATGCATACCATCGCACAAAAATCTTGACCTCGTTTACAACAGAAATTTGCGGAAAATTTGCACCCTCTTTTTGATTTTGATCTCAAACCTCAGGCTTTTGTTTGAAAAAAAGTTATTTTTGAATGATGGAGTTCTTTACTTTACTATTATTATTTTTCTTTTTATCGAAACTGTTAAGATAAACTAGTCCGAGCCACTCACTGCAAGGTAACTAAGGCATCTAGCGTTAAGAATCTTCCAACTGGTTTTATCGTAATTACAGATGTAAATAAAACGCGATCACATTACGGTGAATTCCACAATAGGAAATAGAGCGAGAGCTAAATAACCGGAAGTTTTCGCACGAGCTGATGACAACTATCAGTATAGCTGGCATAACACGGGCGCGTTAGAGACGGACCATTAGAAAAGTTATGGGGAGGGTGGGGAATTTTTGAGCCGCAGGAATTTTTTTCGTTAACAAATTCCTTGCATGAATTTTTATTAGGCCGTAGCTTGAATATTTTTTAGGGTTAATTGGCGTGCATGAATTTTTTTCATTTAATTTTGCCTTGCGCGAATATATTTTTTGTACTTCGCCTCCCCATATAAGTTTTCTAATGGTCCATCCCTTATGAGCCAAGCGACCCAACGCGACATTTTGCGCGAAGTGCGAAATTTGTTCTCTCTCCCGCCCCACCCCCCACCTCACTTGTCTCGTGCTTCGCGCAAAACGCCGCGTTCGTCTAGCTTGGATCACTAACTATCGGGTTAAGGTCAATTTCCTCTGACCCGTTTTTGGTTACGCACGTTAACGCACGTGAATTTCAATCACTTAAATAAAATAGAGGCAAAATATAAAGT